CGAATCCTAGCATGCATGTCTACCTTCACACATCCTCCGTTATTACTTCTGAAACATACTTGTATGTGGCACTGCCTAATATGTTCAACTTGCACCCCGCAGCACGCATAGCAACTCCCAGTGAACTGTCGACCCCGACACTTGACTCTCTATTTTTCTCGACAGTTAGCCTATCATTCGTCTTTCAACATCAACCATCGGTATCGACAGATGTCCACAGGCAATCTGTCGATACCGACGTATGATCTCTGTAGTTCTCGACAGATCACCGTATCCATGATGTTGAATCCTTATAGCGTTAGACATTATACAATATTGTTTATATTTATAATCTAATCCCATGGGTTTTGTCAACGCACCTTGCAGGGCATATGGAGTTTGAATTCCTGATTCCAGAAGACGCATGGTTGCGGGCCCATATTTCCCAACGCAGCAACCTCAAGTATGTTAAGACTGTGATGGACCATTTTGACGAGTGACAACGTGAGTACTTTCGCAACTCCCCCCTCGGGTATCTGGCTGATATTCCAGACATTCAATTCTCTGCCCAGCTAATCCTACAACTACTGTTTAGAACAATCCGCACAGAAAAGGTGAACGAGCTTTGGTTCAATGTGTAAGGCCACCTGATAGATTCGGTCTACAAGAGTACGTTGCTGTGACGGGGTTAAGATGCGGTGTCTTCCCCGAGGGGGACAATTTTGATCGATTGATTAAGAGGAAAAGGTTGAAAGAGAGGTATTTTAAGTCCAATGACAAGGTATCATTGGCACAACTACAATCTACTGTTGCCCGACCATCGACGACCCGTGCTGATCGCTACAAGCTAGGGCTAGTTCTAATTGTCGAGGGAGTATTCAATGCTCCGGATAATAACGTCGGTATCCATTTGCCATTTTTATCAATGGTGGACGACCTGGACTTATTTTTTTCCTACCCTTGGGGTAGAGTTGGATATAAGCGATTGTTGCACGGGTTCCGGGGTAGATTTGGAAGAAAATTCGAAAAGGCCAAGAGGAGGAAGGAGAAAGAGATTACATGCAAGGTTCACGACTTCCCCATCACCATGCAAGTACGCACACTTCGTAACATTAGCATAGCATGCATGATTTACCCCTCCGGTAGCATTGCACATATAATCTCTGTAATTTTAATGTGTTTCTGTTGCTGTAACAGGTTTAAGGCGATTCTGGAGATTGGGGAACGCTTTGGTCAGCCAGTTGGTGAACGACTACCACATATTTTTCGCTGGTCCACTCGAAAGCAGCCACAACATCGTACATACGATGCATTTTTCAAGAATGTACAGGTACAATTTCGACATGTCTTTGTTTCCCCTTTACCATCTTGTTACTATCTAGCACGTTCTAATGTGATTATCTAAACCTCATTTTGCAGCTGCATGTGTACGCAACTCTCCAGCCCACCGATGCAGAGGCTGAGCAGCCATATCTGTCCTCTCTCGTGCCGTACGACGATCCCCCGGTGCCCGTGCTTGATGACATTGTAAGGACTGTGGTTGCGCCATAGATTCATTCGTTACACACCGAAAGTGGAGTTGGTGGACAGTCGGGAGGTCAAGATTTGGAAGACAGAGTCCGTAGTGGACGAAGTGGTGACGGGGAGACATCTGGAGATGATGAGAGCGATGGGGAGTCGGGAAGTGATAGCGAAGGCGACGACAGTGAGGACACCGGTGACTCTTCCACCCCTCATGGGGCATCGATTCGTTCACCAGTGAGAGGGTATACGACAAACTCACTGTCAGTTCGAACATCTGCTTCCAGCTTGACGAAAGGGGAAGTTGAGGAGCTGCTACTCGACCAAAGAATCCTTTTCGAGATGGGACTCCGGACTGTGAAGTTTGAAATTGAATAGCACGTGACATTTGAATGTACAAGACTCCGTGAGTTCATTGCTGCCCAGGTGGCCCCACATTCCCCTACCACCGCTCCGTGCTCAACGGGTGCCATTTTTAGCCCGGTCCTTCAGGTTGTTCCCCACAAGGTTTGAATCAAACATGTGCTATTCGGTTATATTTTTTGAAATTGACCACAAGGTTATTCGATTTTTTCTTGTTACAATTGGGATGTAGATGTACATGGATGAGGCACAGACCCATTGCCCACGCCAATTGAATTGGGAGTTGACACAGGACGTTCACAGCCTCCATGTACGTGCATTATTAACGAGCAATTCTACACATGTTACTGTCTGGACGTTGTACGATACTTGAGTTGGGAGATGTAATGTGCTCTCATGACGTCACTGTTGCTTTCCACAGTCGGAGCATACAGTCCTCCATGCACGGACGAGGAGGAGCTGCTTGTCGAAACTAAAGACTTGCCAGGTATGTGGGTATTTCATGCACAATTCGAAACATATTATTTCATCGAGTACGCATGTTGCGAAACATGACAAAACAAATGTGCTCACATTATTTTACTGTTGTTGTCAATAGAGGGAGCTGACATTGCATCATCCCCGGACGTCGAGCACGAGCCGTTGCCCACTCCAATTGACGATCAGGAAGGTATTGCGTCCATTACAAGCACTTTTTGCAATTTCATGTCATTGCATTTGCTTCCTAATGTTTCGTCGAATGCTATGCATTTACGTATGTTCTGTTAATAAGACGGAGCTGCCACAGAGTCCTCAGATGCGGCCGAGGTCAGCGATACAGAGATTGACGGTTGCAACGTCACAGATGGCGAAGATAAGTTCATTGCATGCGTTACTACTACGTATAATACATATGATTAGTGAATGTCATTGACAGTAACTCACTGGGCCCTTTCCATTGTTATGTAGGTATTATCGCTGCCGTACCTGTTCCCGCCACTGACGTACCTGTTCCCGCGCTTGTACTAGAAGGAGGAGGTCGAGTTTGTACGACAAGACGGCGCTCCGCCCGGCTACGACGTCCCACTCCTGCCACAAGGACTCCGTACACGAGGAGGAGGGGAAAGACATTGAAGAAGTAATTGTGAATGAAGTGGCGGGATGGCAGGACGATGGGGTTGTTTTTGGTTTTCGCTTACCTGTCGAGGTGTGCAGATGGTGAACGTAGTAGATTTGAACAATTAATCACTTGCTTTTACGTTTATTCTAACATTGACGCTTTACTTTTTCATTTGACATGTGCGTTGGAATTTTGACAAGCGTCCCACATTTTGCCTTGCCGTTAGTTATGACATAGTATGTGTCTACTTGTCATGACATTTGGTTCTACTGTTACAAGCCGGATACCTTGTTTATGTCTTATATTACGTGAACAGTCGGAACCTAAATTGACATGATAAGTGTTTTTCTGGACTTTAGAAAATGATCTTTGCATTCTCGTTAAAGTACGCCTTGTTTCCAGGTAAGAACATCAATTAGATGGCACCAAGAAAGTCCACCCATGTAAAAGGGCAACTAAACTGCACTCTACTGTAAAAGAAGATGGACATTATAGTGATTAAAATTTTTATTTTGAAAATAACTGCAGTATTTCTTCTCTTGTATTCTCAATGTTGACATCGTTGTTAAATTGGCATTGTTCTCAAGCATCTATAGAAACTTCCAACTACTTTTCAAAATATTTCATAAGAACTGTACTCGGTATACCACGTGTGTGAATATAATGTAATCCCATTTTTTTGAAGCACTACAATTACAACGATGCCACAATTGCTGGGAATATTTTGCACAGAGGTATTTCAGGTGCAGGAATGTATATGTACTGAAATACAAAGATAATAAAGAGTGTTAAATGTCCTACTAATTATGGGGAAATGGAGGATAACGGTACTATAAATTTATTGAACCATCACACCAATTGCTTTTCAAATTAACAAGGAGATTGGACTTGGTGATTGGGTAGATGATGACCATAATTGCATTTCCTCTTCAAGTTGCTTATAAATACAGTGTCACATTGTTCTCACTCCTAGACAGCTTAGTGGAATAGCATTGTGAGAATTTGTGACTCTCAAAGACAGATTTCGTTTCAGCAATACTTTACTACATAAGTATAATGAGTTCGTCCACAGGAAGCACCGAACCGTTCAACATGGATGAGCCGATGCCGGTTCCCGGTTCCTCTCCGTTATTTCCAACCTACATTTCGTCAGACGATGACAAAATTGAGCTTCGTACGGGTAGGAGAGTCATTTCCCCTGTTCCCTTCCCGAACTTGGAAGATGTTGGGAGTGACGATGGTTTGTCACAGAACGATGTGCTTGATGCTGTGCTCTCGATCGACGTTGCCTACGAGGGGGATTTCGAGGACGACGATGGGCTGGCGTACGTCCCAGAGAACGAGGTCATTATCATCTCGTCTGACGAGTCAGGTGAAGACAGCGGGAGAGCAAGTTCGATCGTCGACGACGAGTGAAATGCCAGCCGTGGAGTGTAGTGAATAAGTAGTGTACAGTCCATTCTTTTGTAGGGATGCAGTTGGTTAACACAGAACCAAAATGTCTGCATGAACATGTCCCTTCGCCGTAATCCGGGTAGTGTATTTTGTGTATAGTCCAGTCCAGTCGAACTGTTGAGAATTATAGATTTCTATCTGTTGGGATCGACAAATTAACCTACATCTATATTTTGCACCACGTTTGGTGGATGTTATGAAATGCTATTTATTTAGAGCTGATTTCTCTCCGTGGTGGACGATGTTACAAATTATAATATATTTCATGGATATTGAACTTAAATGTTTTAAATGGGGTTCATGATGCGCGCAATCCAACAAGAGAAGGACAACGTCCCAATTTACAATTCCATTTGCCTACTACCTTCAAGTATTTTGATTGACGGTGCACTTGGAGGGTTAGTTGTATCTATCGGGATGTGCGTACGTGATGAACAGGACAGTCGGGAAACAAATTCTTATGTGCACAGAAGGATGCCGAACATCTAGAAATGGTAATTATCACACTATTTATAACATAACTTCATAAGGTGCATGGCACTAAGGAACATTGAACATACAACGTCGATTACACTAACAACGTTTAAGGAACTTGTGATACATTGGAGTTCGAACATGTGCTCCGATTATGACCAAGACGACCACTACGAGTGCATTTCCTGCTCGACCATGCAGACTCGTGTCTTGAACGCTTATGTCGGGTCGGTGGTCTACCTGGAGGGCGACGTACGAGTGGTGGCAAAATAGGAGTAAATGTAATTAAACTGGGAACAACCCAGTCCGCTTCACGTCCAATAGGATATATAGCTTCGCTATATGCACCCCTCCAGTATTCAGATGTGTAATAAGGGGAGCAAAGGTCATACAATGACTTCCCTTTGAAGCAAGTAGCACGACTTGCATGACCACATGGCATACGGTTTAGTTGGAACTCACGACACGTGCAGGTGTCTTCAGAAAAGTCAACTATGTCCACGTCGTTGGATATTCCGACCTGAGTTAAGTTATTTGTCAACAACTGGGCTCGAAGCCTAGTTCCAGTTTCAAATGTCATCCGTAACTCGTTTTCCATCCTCAGTGTCAATACTGTACTGCATTCGGCCGCATTTTTCTGACGTTCATAAAACCACTTCTGCAAAGTACTCCGAATGTGTTCGACCAAGCAAGCTATCGATAAAGAACGGGCTTCTCTCAACATGGAGTTCAGAGACTCAGCGTTGTTGTTCGTCATGATGTTGTAACGGTGGCCAATAAATAGTGCTCGGGACCAAAATGAATAACCCGCACGCTCTAAGTACCCGTACGCTCTTGTGCTCACCCTGCAGATCTGTCCCATGAGTCTTTCAAAGTCCTCAACCCGATATGTCGTAGCAGCTCGTTTGAATAGAAGTATTGCACTTGCATTGCTGTACCGCTGTATTAGGTTCTTTTCGAGATGCCAGATACAACAACCATGGTGAGACAACGGAAACAACTAAGTAATAGCTTTGTCAATGCTCTTTTTCCTGTCTGAAACAAATACTAGGTCTTCAGAGTCCCCTATAAGCTCTTTCAAGTTGGACATAAACCACTTCCAGGATTTATTGGTTTCAGCATCCACGATCCCCCATGCTAACGGATATATATGTTTGTTACCATCTTGGGCAGTTGCCAGTAGAAGTGTCCCTTTGTATGGACCCTTCAGATGACTGCCATCAACACAAATAACGGGTCTCAAGTACTGCGTGTAACCACGAATGCTTACACCGAAAGTTAGGAAGAAGTAATGAAATCTATTTTGAGAATCGAGTTCTATGTGGGTTACTGTCCCCGGGTTACTCTCTCCTACGACGTGGCAGTATGAAGATAATTCTAAAAACTGGCTTCCGGTGTACCGTGTAGCATACTTAAGGCATGAAGCTTTCCCCTACGAGCTTTGTTGTAACTGATTTTCACACCGAACTCACGTTCCATATCACGTGCAATAGCGATAGGGTCATACAATCGACCTGGAGTATCCAGTTTGCCTAAATGTGCTCGGCAATTACAGAACTAGTGGCATGCCGATGTGCGGTACGACAAAAATCAAGGGAACATGTGTGCACGTTGATGAATTTACGGATCATGAAGATTGCAGATTGCTTGACAGTAGAAGCACGTAGCATCCACTTGCAATTATCATCCACACATACAACGGTTAACATTTTCATGCTTGACCTGCTCAACCGAAATTGAAACTTCTCTTGCAAAGCAAGCACACGAATCTTCGAGTACAATTATTTCTTGCTAAAGAATATTTACTTTTCGACGAGAACGACGGCTGTCATCCACTCATCTGTGCCTAAACTCATGGAATGTGATGACACTGGCTGGTCAATTTCAGCAATAATAGCATCATTCGTACCATGTAACAGGTTCTCTAAGTGCTCAACGGATGCTGCAGCCTCGATATGGTCAATTGAATATGCGGGTGCTTCGTTGTTCGACCTACTGTGCTCATGATTGACCTCACCATTTCTTAAAGTCTAGGGACATTCCGTTAGGTCCTCATCATCTTGTATCTCTGCCGGAGGTATATTCAAATTCGGGACTTTGAACTTCAACTCAATTTCATTGCGGGGTTCAACAATACCAAGTTTTTCCTTCAATCTAAATACAAGTTCTGTTACGGTAATGTTTCTCGGCACTAAAATGGAAGTCGTTTTGTTCCCTCTCCACTTCCATTCGTCATCCACGTGAACAAAGTTCCCCCCATGCGACACGATGAATCTCAGATCCTAAGCCATACCTGAAATGTTGGGAGTACAAAAGTCACAATTCTACACATTTATGTCGAAAGATTTAATACAGTCAAATTGGCTCATTACAATACTTTGATCTATGTAGTACCAAAAAGAAAAAGCTTTTCAAGTGTCAAAATCGACGATTGAATTCTCTGCCCATCCAGACAGTTACTAAATGTCGATTTCGACAGTTCAAATGTATAACCCGACAGTTTCTACGAAACTGCTCAACACTTGAACGGCATAAGTTTCGGGGAACCTACAAAATAATGTGTTTTACTATTTTAGGAATTTATTGCAACACATTAATGGTCATAATCAATTCTCAACTACAACTTCAACTGATCTCCCCACACACAAAGAAAGTATAACTCAATGCTTCATTAAATATAGAATTACATATGAAATGATTCACATTTTGTTGAGAATATTGGTATTTCTTCCCTTTCTAAAATATACCAAGAATAAAAAATCAATGAATAAGAGATGAAATATGGACAATTAATTCTGACCATGTTTTATTGAATATTTAAAGTACTCAAGTATAGTATGCAAAAATTTCTTTTCTACTACCTCACCTTTGAAATTGATCAATAGCTTTCCTTCATACCTTGTTGATAATGAAAGGGGGATGATGATGAAGAAGAAGCTATTTCAACTCCTACTTGTGTGTGCTCTTTGTACACATTTCACCCATTTTTTTAATCAAAAATTCATATTATACAAGATAATATTCATTTCTTCAATATTAACAATAAAGATAAATAAATAATCACATCACACTATTAATAGCATTCAAATCAAACATTTATTGCTTCTAAAAAGGTGTCAAAGGGTAATATGGACATTTTGTGGGGAAAAAGTGGCATTTTTGCAAAAAAAATTGTGCAAGAAATTTTTTTTGTGCATTTTCATATTTAGTGACATTTGTGTAGATTCCCCATATAATTAATAAGTTTCGACTTTTTTCACTACTTGTCGAGACTACACTCTCGAATCAATTAAAATCATCGAAATTTATTTATAAACAAAAATTATATCCTTAGACTTATGTTCTTATGTATTATACTCATAAATCATGTCAAATATTCAAAACTAGGAAAAACCACCCAAATGTCAATTTTCGAATATTTATAAATCCTCAAATCTATTTTTTCATCTTATCACATGTAATCATATAACATCAACACTAAGACTTGCGAGACCGAGGCCAGACTAATGTTGTTCCTTATTCCAGTCCTTACTACATAAAGAAAAGATAAATCTATAAAGTAAGAGGATTTTGTGTCTAAATTTCCATTCAATAGTCAATGTCGAATAACAAAACTCATAGTTAACCTTCTGAAAGCCCAAGAACGGCTAACCAAAATGGAAGTGAATTAGTTATCTAAAACATTTTGGAAAATAAATGCAAATTTAACCAATTAACAAATAAGATAATGAGCAAGAAAGATAACACGAAAATAACAAGAGGATGGGAAAAGAAGGCGCAAACGATATATGGAGGTTTAATCAAATCAACGATCTACGTCCCCGTTACCAAGCTCTCCGTCACGGACAAGGCCCTTCCACTATATTTGATTGACTTATGGTGCAATCCAACCCTTACAACATTTTTGATGACTTACAACCAATAAGCATCGATCCTTTTACAATGTTGAGCTCTTCGGTACCTCAACACGACCCACAATTTAAAAATAAGGAAAACAAAATTACAAATGAAAGCTTCTAATAAATGATATGAACACAATTAAGTATAAATAGGGAAGTAGATGCAACACTTTAATAAATTGCAAAGAATATAACTCAAGTGTTGGATGAAAAATTTTAATTGACATAAATGATTTTTGCAAGCTTTGATTACTCAAAAAGTTTTTCAAGATTTAAATGTTTTGATCTTTTAAAGATTGAAAACTATGGTAGAAAAGATCAATAAATGCCTTACTTAAATGCTTAAGAATAGTTGTTGCAAATGTGGTAGAGAGTGAGGTATTTATAGCCATCAAATGGTCAAAAATCTATCAATCTTCAAGGATCCGAACAAATAACTAGCCATTTGAAAAAAGGGTCAAAAAACCGACCATTGAAGGGTCCATCCAGACGTCCTGATGGGCAACAACTTTGCCCCTCAGGACTTTACTTCATGATGACTTTTATAAATGTACTTTAAGGAATTTCTCATTTATTTTGTATAGATAAGTATTTTGTAAATATTTGATCCTAAGAATCGAGATACTTATCTTTTGAAAATAATTTTTATGTAAGTATTGTTTGTTGTAAAAGTGTCTTGTGCATAAAAATTGTTTGAGCTATAATCGATGTGAAATATTAAAGTGTTAAACCTTTACATTTGAATTAAAAACGCATCTATATCTAATGTCTTTTATCTCTTCTCCAATGTTATTTTTGACGCGAAGCTCAATTTCCATCTTTGCATTTGTTGATCGCCAACTTTCTTTTATTTTGATTGTCAAGCTCCAAAAACGTTCGTCCATATGCGTGAATCTTGATCTCGATTATCGTGTTGTCATTCTTCGTTAATTTTGCGATAATCACTATAAACACCTAAATTCAATTTGTTTGTGTTAATCAAAACGAGAAGTCAACCATTAGGTCAAAACCTTCTACTAGAAAATCCATTAAGGTTGTTAGGTTTTGACACCCAGTAAATTCCAGGAGATGATGTAAACTTTGAAATATATTTTCACATATCTTAGTCGATGAGGAATTGATTATCAACCACCAAATTTAAAGGCTCGATCCGAAAACACCGTTGGATGTAACTTAAGAAATTAGTGCTGCTTATGGCTTATATATGTTTACTTATTGGATGGCTCTTGGATCTTGGCCCATTTAACCCCTTTTTTTATCCAACTACAGCCTAATATATTCTTATATATATGTTTATTTGACCTAGCCATTCGAGTATGTGATTTGTGTGTGAATTGAGAAAAACATGGCTACCTATTGCTGGAGAAAAATTAGCTGCAATTGAGTGTGAAAAAATCGTTGACTTCCTCCTTCGTTTGGTCTTCTCTTTATGCCTCTTTCATTGTTTTTCTTGTGCTTTTGTGGCTTGCAAATCAGCATTGTTATATTATCCTTTGTAGGAGAGATTGAGAAACAACCTAGGTAAATATATTGGTTGTGAATCGGAGCTGTTTGGATTGGTTGTTTGATAGAAAATGTAACGTAAAACTGAGCTCGAAAATCACCATTTCTAGATCCAAAAATTGTTGAAAATCGCTTGAAATTGCGATTTTCAGCCAATCTAATGACTGATTGGTGAAATGGAGACTACTAGTGTGACATGTAGGCGAAGGCGATCTTCAAGGTCAAGCGCATGAGGCAGTAGGAAGGCGCATGTGGCAACGTGTGAAGTGTATGCAAAGAGACTCCAGGTAGCATGCTAGCACGTGCACTGTTTTTCGACGATGGTGTCTCCTGAAAGCTTGTTCCTAACATTATTTCTAATACTTTGGTGTCGTTAGTTTCTATTTCAGGTTATATAGTAAAATCTAGACATTTTTGCTCGTTTCGTGTTTAGGAATCAATCATGGAAGATTGATTTCTGCAATTGTTGGACGCTTAAGATCGAATAGTGGTGGCTCCAAAGTGGTAAATTTGCATCTCTCATTATTTACGGACTCAAATTGGTCTGTCCAGATATATTGGCTTATCCCATTTAAATTTCAACATTAAGTGGGTCATAGTGTGAGGTGACATTAGCATTGGGGTTACCGTATGGAATAATCATTTCTCATGCTAAAAATTTTGAAATTATTTACTCTATTTGAAATGTTGAGTTTAATTGCAAGGTGATAGTAGCTTTTGTGTTTAATTGCCATTAAGTCACCGTTTGAAACAATATTGTGTGAGAAGCTAAATTTTTGTTAACATTCCTTCGTGTTGCATTAATTATTCTGTTAAAATACCTGAACTTGTCCAATTTGAATATTTCCTTGATATTAAGATCTTAAATCTCACGAAACCTTGAAAATATAGAATGGTGTATATTGCCGCCTTAGGATTACTTTGTGTGACTTATTTGATCACTTTGATTATCTTATTTTTACAAAATGTCTTCATATATAGAAGTTGGAATTTTCAATGAAAAAATTGGGATTTTTGAATTTAGCAACAAAAGATAAAGGGAATTTTTGTTCAAAAAAAAGTTTTAAAAGATGGCAAATTTTCTAAAAATTTAACAATAACACAAAAAGACGAATATGATTAACTTGCTTACACTTCAATTATTTACACTTATCTGATATTGTTTTGAGATGTTAAAAAATTTGATACTACAAAAGAATTTTGAAAAAAGTTGGAGGACTTATATTTATTTAAATCTACTCCTAACAAATTGTATTTACTCGAAAGATTTTTTTTTAGTTTTAAAATGGGTCCTTCAAGGGATGTTTATGACAATTTGGATGTTTTTAACAACCTTTTTTCAAGATAATGTTAATTGTAATTAAAGGGTATCTGAAACGTATAAGGTCATTATTTTGTTTAATTCTATGCCTTATTCATATAGAGAGGTTAAGAATGCAATTAAGCATGGTAAGGACACATTAACACCTGAGATTGTTATAGATTCCATTAAGAGTAAGAAGATAGAGCTTAAGGCTAAGAAAGAATATAAAAGGAGAGGTGAGGTACATATGACAATGAGGGGAATGAAGTTTAAACAAATAAGTCTTGGTAGAACTCAATATAGTAATAACTCGAGTGGTGGTAAGAAGAATGGCAAGGGTTGGGACAAGTCCAATGGTAAGCAATGTTACAACTATGGTAAATCTAGACATTTTGGGAGGGACTATCCTAAGAAGAAGGATAAACAGAAGGGTGAAATGAGAAGCATGGCGAATGTGGCTTTTTGGTTGAACGATGACTCTAGTGAGGTTTATTAAGAGTAAACATATGCATCTATGTGTAACCCTATCTGCATGTGTGCGATTACTTTGCATGGTCATATGTTGCATTTCAATGTGTTTGATATGTGCATGTGCATAAATTTTAGAGCAGTCTAATTACTTGGTGTGATGTGTTTGCATGCATAGTAGGTTGTGATATATTAGCGATAAGCGTGATGTGTGTCTTTTGATAAGGTTAAGTATAGATGGCTAGGGATACATTGGTGGTATGTACTGAGGATGTGGAGTATACCATTTAGATCATGAGTAGAGAGGTGATTAAATATTAAAATCCTTTATTTGTTAAGACCCTTATTAGGTGGAGTGTAAGAAAGACACTTTTATCACTTTTGCTAGGCGGAGGTCCATTATCTCTTAGGTTCGGAAAAGTGGGGTGGTGATAAAGGATTATCCTGTGGATTTAATATCTATTGTGGTTTACCAATTAAACATGAGAATGACCAGTCTAGTGAGCATGGTAGGACACTGAGAGGAGATATGTGTCTCAATGTATGAGCAACACGGAATGAGATAGGATAAGTGTAGTGAGATCTTTTTGTGGGGTCATTTATGCATTTGTTACATATGTATTGACAGTTTCATTGATTAACTTGCCGTTAGTCTGTTGTTCTCTGTGAATAAATTTTGAAAAAAATCTGTGTATTATCCTATGTTATATCTTCATAATATGTTTATTTACTCTCAATTGATTTACGTGATTATCTGCTTCTACTTGGGCATGTCTTTGACCTTAGCCCTAATGAGTATATGAAGCAAGTATGTTATGTGTTTTGGATCCAAAACAAGAGGCAATGTATGTAATCCCAATTTTATTAGTTACATTAATTATGTAAGTATTAACTTTTTGCTTTGATACTTGCAAGTTAATTGGATATCAAGGTGAAGCTTTGTTGAATTTTAATACCCAGTAAATCTCGGTGTGGATGTAAACATCAGAATATATTTTCACAAGCCTCAACCAATGGTGAATTGATTACGAACAATCAAGTCTAAAGGTTTGACCCGAAAATAACGTGGACCATTGGGAGTAGCTTAAGAAATTAATGCTAGTCACAGCCCATATATATTTACCTATTAGACAACTCTTGGATCTTGGCCTATTTAACCACTTTATTGGTACAACTAAGGTCTAATCTATTCCAATATATATGTTGCTTTAACTTAGCCGTTTGAGCGTGTGATTTGTGTGTAAAGTAAGAAAAGTTGCCTATTGCTGGAGAAAATTCGGTTGCAATTGATTGTGAAAAAACCGATGACTCCCTCCTTCGTTTTGGTCCTCTCTTTGCCTCTATCATTATTTTCTCGTGCCTTTATGGTTTGCAAACTAACACTATTATCTTATCCTTTGCATGTAAGATTGAGAAGTATTAGAAAACGTGACGTGAAACTTAGCTCGGAAACCATCGTTTCGAAGATTTTGGAGCAAGCTTCAGCGATAAAGGTCATGATTGTTCATATCAAATCGGTTAGGGATTCCAAATCACAAATATGTACTTCCCGATTATTTCACTTTAATATCAAAGCATCAAGATATTGACAGGCAGTTTAATCTCACTCATTGATACCTCAAAAGAACTTTAAATTTAGCAATCAATTAATTACTTGCTTAGATTTAAAGTGCTACGTAAGTCAAGTTAAATTTAATTCATATGGTGAATTCCATAAATCAAATTTCACGTGGTCAAGTTCCATACATTCCAAAACATACACTCAATTTTATTGTCAAAGTCAAAGATGGACTTTAATGAATTGGAACAATCTTATCAAAAATAAAGTGTCCCTCTTTATTTGTCGATTTTAGATAATAAAACTTTAGACTAAATTATAAATCCAATATTTTCGTGCTTATAAATATAAGAACTCAATTTATAATATCAAATTGACACACAAACAAAATGAAAGCTCAAATTAATATAAACAATGCATCTAACAAACTAAATTTTATTTCAAAATATCACGAGCGTAAATAAATTTAATAGATGGACACACACTTGTCCAATAAATCTCCCACTAATCCTAGAATATATGAGAAATGTTAAATACATGTTTCCTTGATTGCTTCACAAGCTACAATAGACTCTACTTCCATGGTGAAATCGACAATACAAGATTGCTTTATATTCCTCCAACCAATGATGCTGTCACCCAATGTGGACATTGATTTTGACGTGGACTTGTGACAGTTCCTATTAGTTTGAAAATCAGAATCATTATAACACTTAGGGTCCAAATATGTAGTTAAATAAACTGGCATATAATTTTTAGTTTAGAGAAGATACTCGAGTATATGCTTAGCAGTGGTCCAATGCTCAGGTCCTAAGTTCGTCTAAGATCTACTAGTAATCCCAATAACACAATAAATATTTGTTCGTATATAACATCGCATACATGAGCCTTTCCGCAGCCGAGACTTAAGGAACTTGTTTCATGTATTCCACTTTCTAGGAGTTTTGGGACAATGCCTGTATACAAGTGAATTCTTTGTTTAAAAGGCATTTGGCCTTTTTCGAAATTTTGCATAGAAAACTTGACCAGTGTTTTGTCTGTATAAAGATTGGTTTGATCAATTTTCATTTTCTTCCTATCTTAAAGGATTTGGATACTTTGAACATAATTGGCATCTCTCAAACCCTCATGTCATATTGTTGTTAAAGACAGTCGTAGTCTCGTAGAGAATTTTGAGATGGGATCCTTACTGATGGGATCTTTCTCTCAGTTTAAGCTAAAGTTTTAAAATCAAAGTTCAGTTTGTCTCATATTTGGTAGAATCCCCCTCTTGAGTCTGGTATGGTTCAGTGCAACATTTTGTTGGTCTGGTTCAATCATGTATAACTGATAACTCTGTTATTCGGAGTAGGTTTAGAATTCATAGATAGTTTTGGTTTCCACACTTCTAAGTAGAATTTTGGGATTAGCTTGATTGCTACTGTAAATAATTGATGGTAAATGCACAACGATAATTCCATTTCATTACTTTTATAAAAGAAATGCAATGGTTCTTCACATTGAAGAGATCGATTTACTAAGGGTGCATTTAGTTCACTGCTTTCAAACTATTTTCAATTTTTAGTTTTGCAAAACGCTGAAAACATGTTTAATTTAGTATTTTTGAAAATGCATTTTCGAAAACAAACCTTCAAAATAGAAAATTAAAAATGAATTCAAAACTCAAAACTAAAAATTGAAACACAAATCAAACAAACCCTAAAGTTTTCCAATTGGTTTTAGCTGTTGCAAGGTTTTGATTGCTTCAAGAAAGAAAATGTTTTGATAATACATGTAGATCTTTTTGTTCATTTGCTTTCATTATTTATTATTATCAGTTTTTCTGTAAATGGTAAAGATCAAAAGCTTGGTTGAACAATTAGTAATTCATGTGCAAGAATGATTTTGTACTATTAGAACTGACTGGCTTTGGGTTTAGAAATCATTTCTAAACTTCAGGGTGACATAAAATAAATTGAAGGAGCACAATTTGATTGAGAGAGGAGCTATTACTTTAATTTCCTATCAAGAACTACTAACTAGGTATCTAAATGACCAAGTAAAATGTGTTCTATTCATGGATTAAACTGATTTTCCAAGGTACGGATTCCCTATTGACTACTCACACCTAGTGAGTCACATGAGAGACCCACCAGTATAAAAAATCACCCAAAAAAGGAATAAACCATTTGTACCAAAGGGGGAATACCGAACCGTTTACACCCCCTCCCCCCTCACAAACATGCGGGCCCCATGTGTTATTTAATAATCCGAACCAAAGCCTCACCCAAATGATGTGAGTAGTAGGTAAACGGTTAGGTAAATCATTATGTACGTATAGCACGATCCACCAAAAAATACCCATTCACCCCCCTATTGTGAGTAATCGATAGGGATTCTGTTAACCCCTACCCTGGTATCCTAGCAAAACTCTCTATTCATTCATAGTGTTATTTGATGGTGTTTGGAAAGAGCCCAAATCTTTGACGCAAAAGGAACATTGTTTAAATCCTTGGTGCAAAATAAGCCATTACACGGCCTCAAAGCATTTTCGAGCTGTCCAGAAATTTCTAATAGCCATCTTAACTCAATAAATTAAAATAGTGAAATTATCTCCATCCCTACTCATCTTACAAAAATAACACAACATTTATATGATAAATAAGGTGACTAATGCTAGCAAAATTGTACCCAGTAAGGGTGCGTTTGATTGCACACATTTTCCATGGAAAATGTGTTTTTCCTACCTATTTTCCTACTTTTGTCTTGTTTGATTGACAATTATTTTCAAGGAAAATATTTTCCCACTTTTGATCACGTGACCACATTTTTTTTGAAATCAAGGAAAATATTTTCTTTGGGGGAAGGTGGATTATATTTTCCATGGAATTCATCTGTTCCAACAAATTCTCAACTCACGTTAACATTTCTCTCTCTCATCCCAATCCACGTACAAAACAGTATCGTCTCTCTCATCTACTCTGGCGAACCAGGCAAAAGCAGTCAACGACCCATCTCTGCTTCCATATCTGACTCCGGGGAAATCACTGCAGAAGGTCGACAAGGAGGCTTTGATTGCATAAATTGAGGATAATTTAACAATGAAACCACCATTTTTGATTTCTACATGTTTATAATTCTTAATTAGTTTTGAGTGCGAAGTAATTCTTTTTTAATCAGATGAAGAAACCCCCAGTATGTCTGATTCAACTTTGATCGTTCGTTCATCCAAATTAACATTTGAAGGGTAATCTCTCTCATTACCAATTTCGATTTCAATTAGATTCTGTAGGATTCCAAGGGAGTGGAGAAATTAACAATCAGTTGTGGTGATTTTAATAAAATGGGGAAGAGAACTGTAGGAGCAGTTGGGAGGGGGGGCTGGCGAAGAAGGGATGGCGAACCAGAATTGTTGGGTGTGGTAACTCGGGCTGTGAACACTTTTTTATTTTATTTATTTATTTTGGATAATCGCCTACACCACCGGCCCCTCCTCCGCCACCAATCCTCGTCGCTTAGAATACTGACCCTTTGGCCTTGTTCCTCAAGATTTCCTTTCCCACTATCTCTGCTTTAACCCAACCCCACCCAATATCCCCAATAACCAACAAGAGGGCTGTTCGTCTTCCCTTCAATATATTTGTATGTGTTTCTGGTAATTGGATTTCTATACTGGAATGTGTTCCTTCTTTTTGTTCTTTTTCCTGTTGGTCTTTACTATCATAGGAACATATCTATTATTATTAATTGTGCATGATTTGTATGGGACCTCATGCATAATTAAAGTCTCAACCATTTCTTGAATATGGCCCTAAATTTTGATGTTTCCACAGGAATGGTTTTTGGCTTACATTTCTTTCCTTCTATTTCCGTTTTATTTTACTTTGTCTGATAATCAAAAAGCAATGATGTGAAGCACATTACTGCATATGGTTAAGAAGTACTAGTTAAGGTAGTCATAATTAATGTTTTTTGATCAGCGAAATGGGAGAGATGCGAACGGGTGAGTTCACTAATCGGTCTTCCCATTAGGACCAGGTACATACAACTTACAAGCATACAATAATCAAAACTTGGTGTCTGTTTCTGTTGTTAACTTATTTCAAGTAATTGATGTTGGCATTAATTCTTGTTTGCCTTTTGCATTTGTGAGCTGATAGACTCTTGTTTGATTTCACCTTTCCTAGGTAATTTCAAATATTGTATTGCAAATTTTGTTAAAATCTGTCCAGATTCAAGTGTTAGATGTAAAGGAATCCTTTTTTCTTGGAAGACTATGGTGCAGTCCCTTCATAACCTGAAGCAGATTCAAGCTTCCTTTTGGCCAGCTGCCTGTCTTTTTAAACTCCAGGAAGGCACCTCACCAGAAGCCTGCTTGTTTTAATGCTCGTGGAAGCTGTGTATTGCAGCATTGTTGACTGTTTTTGTGCAGTTTTTTATTGCCCAAATGGTAGTAAACTTCTGAAATTGGTGCTGTCGTGCTTGGAGCCTCAATTTCAGCCAGTTTGCTTTTTCAAGTTGCCTTCGTCTCACTTGAAGGCTTGACATCGTTAGAAAGTTATTTTTCATTTTCTTGTGGATTCTAGATTTGTGTTCAAGGTTTTGAGCTGCATCAATCTTATTCATATTAAATAATTTAGGTTGTGTTTTTTATATTTGGAACAAAAATTTCAAGATTCACCAACTTCAAAATTTATATGTTATTTAAATTGATTCATGTTTCGATACTTGTTTTGGATCATTGTGGCGTTTTACTTTGAATGCGCGAGTATACCCGAAGTAGTTGTACTCACAATTTTGATCAATATAATTTATTTACGTGATTAAAAAAATAGTATAGATGCTTAATTAGGTGTTTAAGGTTTGTTAATTAATTTATTAAATTAAGTTGCGGCTATGGAATATTCATGTAGTTGGCCGTGAACAATAATCCAATTCGAAATCATGGCTGATTGAACTTTGATAAGATTTGCTTGCTCTTTAAATTTGATATAATCAAATTATTTTCTATCATATTATTGTCGAAATATGACTTTTCCAAAAAAATCATAATCATAGTGCGCATACAATATTAATTTATTTATGAAGACACTATTGTTTAATATTTCTAAAAATTGATGGACAAATTTTCATGGAAAAAACCACTATTTTCCATGGAAAAAGTGTCAATTTTCATGGAAAATAGTGGTTGTCAAACAGATAAAGTTGGAAAAAAGTATTATTTCCATGAAAAATAATGGCTATCAAACACCAAAAGTTGAAAAATTGCAACATTTTCTAGGTTGAAATTTAAGTTAATCAAACACGTGTAATTAACATTTTCCATGTAAATAATTTCCAAGCAATTGAATTACCTGGAAAATATTTTCTTTCCATGCAATTTTCCTACTTGCAATCAAACGCACCCTAAATGTAAAGGAAAACAGTAACATCTCAAACAGAGCTTCCATACAAGGGAAAAAAATAAAAAGCACAAGCAACGCAACCCGAACCAGTATGCATGAATTATACTAATGCAATTTCAGAGCTGCAAAAAAAAAAATCAAATACAGTAATATTCACCAAAGAGCAACCATTAATTTTTTTCCCAATCGAATGCTGTTCTTGCAGGAACAAATAAAAATATGTACAGTGTACAAATATTTCATCCTATACTACCACTCCTGCTGCAAATAAATTAGACTACATACCATACGGCGGAAAAACTACACACTAATAATAATACAAGAATCATGTGGTAAAAGTAATACTTTTTCTTCGATAAGAACATGAAGACAAATCTTTAAAGCAATTCCTTGTGCAGTGAAATAATCCAAAAAGTTTCCAAATGTTGAGTGGAAACCGAGATCTGGTTCACCAACAAACTGCAATCTTGAGAATAAAGTCCCACAAAATTGAAAATTTAAGACCAGAGCTGCAGTGAGAAGGAAAGAGTACTGTCAAATGAGGAAAAGTATGAGCATCCCTGACTAAAAGCACGTTTGCCAGAGCTTAAAAAAAGGTAAATTTACTTTGAATAATTTGTTTAGTTACTGTTTCTTTATTTTTAAGTAAACAAAATAATTACTTTGAATATATTGTTACTTTTCTCACACTTCAAAAATTAAAAAAAAGTTGAGTATTTTAGAACACGCTAGAATACTTGTAAGTAAATTACTCATATTCATAAGTGAACATTAGACAAAAAAAACACGCTCACATTCAAAATATCGAACATTTAACAGTTTCTGGGGATTTAATTTTTTTTACTTTATTATTTCTGTATGCCTGAAGATGTATGGCGAAGATGCAGGTTTCAAACTGTCGTATCACCGAAAGACACTAACAGGGGATTATTCATGGATGTCTTCATTAATTTACAGAAAGGAAGCACAAACGTTTCAGGAGCTAGATATATAGGGGTATTTGAAGCTTGCATGGCTTTCTACCAAGAGCTCACTTAGCAAAGGTTAAGAAGTAGAGCAGTTTTTGTACCTAACGTGTTTGAATGTCCAACTTTTCTTACTTTAAAGAAAAAACAAAAGTTCAATTTTTTGAAAGTAAATCTCAACTTACAGTAAATAACTAGACTATTTTTAACTTTGGCACGTAAAAAAGAATGATATATTTCAAAATATATTTATTTACTTATATCTAAATTCTTGTATCTCAGCCTCATTTGACAAAATATACAAATCATTTATAAATGGTCAAACTTCATTTTTAACCACAAATTTCAATGGACTCACAAGTATTATTCACTTTATCATGTCTTAACCGTTTATAAATTCTCCCCAAATGGAGGCTAAATTGACTTATATGTGAACTATAAAGCTTTCTCAGGTAAACAAGCTCTTAGAAAGCAGAAACAGAGCCATCCCATATCATGGTTAAATTTAGACCTATAAAATTTACTTAATTTTGGTTACCTTAAAAACTTGCTTCTTGAATCCACCGCCCAATATTGTGGGAGATGTCGAGCATCAAGATGATGGAAGTGTTCGCTTCACAAAAGGATGGTCCAAAAGCTGGGCAGCAGTAGGCCGTGCATTTGGGTCAACTTGTAGACATAGGAAGATAAAATCCCGTGCACAGCTGGAAAGAGATTGGGGAATGGGCGGCCGTTCACCCCTTCCTATCCTAAATAATGCGGGCAACTGTTGTACAGAAAGAACATTCCATCAAGATCAATAAGGAAGAATTGCATGATATCTTACGGACATAAACAGTGATAATCATTTATGAGCAATTTCCGGAAAACTAAAGCTCAACATATGCACGAAATTCCTTATCCAACAATACGTGTTCAATAAGCCATCTCTGTACTAATAGGATGTCTGTCTTCTGCCCTAGAAGAAGAGACCTGATTTAGTTCCCATTTTCAGCACTTCAAAGCATGTTCGGCTAACCTAAAAGCAGGTCAAAGTTACCTAAAAGTAATTTTTGGTTTACAAACATATTTGAAAAAGTTATTTTTTTCTTACTTCTAATAAAACACAAATCACTTTGAGAGTAATGCTTACCTTACCATCAAAATAAGGAACTTATTAATAATTTTGATCAATAAAAGAATATTTTTTTAAATTTATTAAATTATAATTTGTAAGTAAAATTTTAAACTTGGATATACATGCTCTAAGCAATTCACGATATTCTTTGTCAACTTCCAGGGGGGAACATCTTGACAAGATACAATCTGAAGTTGACCAAATTCCTAAAAAATGGCAACTTTAGGGTTGATAGAAGTGGAAATTAACATTCATGAGGAGATTATCCTTCACCCTTCTTTCCCATCTCTGTTAGCTGTAATTTATTATATCAATTCATATAAAATATCTATGGAATTTATTTCTCATACTATGAACGTGAACCAATGCAAAATAGATCATAACACGACACTCATCAAATCAGAATGAGTGGTCACAGAAATGAAATGTCTTGGGTATTCTGTATATTATAAATTGTTGAACAGACAAAAACACCTCTAATCTAAATAACACATCACACCACACCTTATGTACCACACCCTATTTAGCCGCTGTTTGGTTTAGATAAAAATAAGATTTCTAGTAGATTTTAATAAAAGTAGATGGAATGTGTTGTTGAAAAATCGTGGGTCCCATAGACTTTGATTTAGATTTCGATCCAAATTTTAAGCTGAACCAAACAAGAGCTTAAGGTTTTGCATACTACTTTCTAGTTATTGATTTTTCATTAAACTTTTTTCTTTGAAGGACGATTTTTTGTGTATGAGATTTATAAAGTTTATCATCTTCTTTTCCAAACTCCAACATCAAATGAATAAAAAATAATTTTAGTAAGTTAATAAAAATATAGAAGATTATTGAAAATAATTCATTTAACTCTTCCAATATTGTTAAAACAAATAAAAAAACCTTATTTTCTATCTTCTAATTAATAATTTTTGTTCAATGAATAAATGTTATCTATTAAAGTAATTTTTATATTACTTGTTATTTTGTAGCTAAAAAACTAATTTCTAATTTATTTAAAGCTGGGGTAATTTATTGCAAGTGATTTTTTTTTTCTTTTCTATAAAAAAGCTTCGTAGAATAGAAAAATATTAAATATACTCCATCCGTCCCATTTATATAAACTGACTTCCCTTATTTTCTTGTCCCAATTATATAGTCCAGTTTTTTTTATTGAGAATGTTTTGTTTTGTTTGTTTACTAATATACCCTCATTTAATTTGCCTAGTTATCATCAATTTTTCCCACTTAATCTTGAAATTGTACAAATTTAAATAAAGGTAAACTAGGAATTTTTTTGGAAAAAATTGATTTTCAATAACATTAATAAAGTTTCTTAATCCGTTTGAAAAACAAAACCAACCTATATAAATAGGATGGAGGGAGTAATTAATAAAAATATATAATTTTGGGTAAAAATTAAACTAGAAAAAGTATTATGTAAGTGATGCAATGAGGAGATTCAAGTGGATGTAAATTTTTGTACGTCGGATGAATGAGGGAAAAAATAATGTTTATAGCAAATGAACTTTTGGAGAATAAAACACAGTTAAAATTGATATATAAACTGTTATGTAATGTAATACAAAGGGTGTGTGATTTGTTATTTTAAATTATAGGTATCTAGGTCTATTTAAATAATTTTTGGCAAATTCGTAATTTTTTTTAGTACAAGTTGGTTTTTGTTACCATAACGTAAAATGCGTCATGTAAAGCATAAATTTAGAAATCCAGTACGTAAGTATAATATCCCCTATATAGCGGGTATATTTTGTAAATTTTCCTTAAACTCTAAAAGTAGAAAAGCAAATTGCTTTCACTTACACATTCCAAATTGAAGTAAGGAAAACGTCGTGTTAGCATCTCTAGGACAGTGCACCCAAGGCTCCATATATCAGCTGCATGCCCATATCCCTGGCTCCTAACAACCTGCAGTATAATTGATAATCAATAATAGGTAATCATGAACAGCTCCATCACAGATATGGTAGCAAATATTTATGTCCATAAAATCAATTTATGGTCTGGACCATCAAGGATCACAAGGAGGGTACACGTGAAAGCCTTATACATACAAATCAGAAACTTGTATTAACTTGCTGTGCAGCTTAAATCTGGAGAAAGAGAGTGAAAGCAAACCTCAGGAGCCATCCAGAATGCAGTTCCCTTGCAAGATTTCACATCATTTAATTTGGTAGCCTGCCAAACACATTATCCACAGTGATTATAAATAAAAACAGTAGCAATTGTGCTCAACTATCTCCAAAACTATAGAAGACAAAAAGGGATTGTAATCATAAAACAAGAGAGGGAGATAAGCAGATTGGACCTTTGCAAGGCCAAAATCTGCAAGTTTGACCGATCCATTTGCATCCACCAATATATTTGCACACTTGATATCTCTGTGAGAGGTGAGGAAAAATTACAAGACTTTAGCATTATTAAGCCCTTGTTTGAACCCATTTTTCACAAAAATGGATTTTGTAATAGTTATTTTTTTGGAAAATGTGCGCTTAAAACGCAGGAAAAAGTTTTGGGTTTACGTGCAAATTATTTATTGGGATAATGTGTGGTTGAAAATAAATTTGAGAAAAAAGGAGTTTTTAGTTATTGGGGCTCAAACAGGGGCTAAGTTTTCTAAACTTAAAAATGGCTAATACCTTTCCATATCAACTAATTCAACATACAGGAATGTAAGTTTTGAAACGCCATAAATCATTTACTGGGAGTTAGTATAGATCATAAAAAGCCAAAAAAAGATTATACAGGGTTGTTTCGATTAATCACCTGTGGACCACATCTCTGTCGTGTAGATATTTCAAACCATGTAAAATCTGTCTGGTATAAAAAGAGACCTGGGAATCTTGAAGGTTATACTTCTGGTAAAGTCTCAAGAGGGAGCCTTTAGTAACCAGCTCAAGAAAGATATAGAGGTTTGATTCATCCTGCAAAAGAAGGCAAAAAAATTGCTTGCATGTCAATGTAATTTCTGCAAGATACAAAATATAAAAGAGTTTGCAAGGGAAGATGCTCAGTGTAGAAATCTCGAAATGATCATAGGCCGAAATTATCATAGCATTATTATGGAATGTTTGTATTTACTTGTATGGTATAATTGTTGATTAGTTAGGAAATATTTTTCTTTCTTTAGTTAGGAAATCACATTCCTTTTTCATCTATTCCCTTGTATTATATATTGAACCATTACTTGTAAGAAATCTATCAAGGAATATAGAATCACTATTTTTCTTTAGCCTATCTTTATGGTATCAGAGTTTGGGTAATCTAAACCCAGCCATCAATGGCGGAAAACACCGTCAATAGCAAAGACTCAATCACCTCTGAATATGCAACCAGCGAGCCTGAAACTACTCCAACCATGAGTTCAATTGGAATTGATAACTCATCCTTTCAACTCACAGTGGAAAAGCTCAATGGAATTCCCGATTAAGCTCTATTGCAATAACAAGGCAACTATCATCTCAGTGAGTCCAATCCAACATAATCGAAACAAACACGTAGAAGTGAATAGACATTTCATCAACGAGAAAGTTGAAAATGGAACTATTTGCGTGATCTATGTCCCTACCAAGGAACAAACAGCGGATGAATTCACCAAAAGGCTACACAAATCTAATTTCGATGATTTCATAAGTTGGATATGATCAATATTTACAATCCAACTTAAGTGCGAGTATAGAAATCCCAAAATTATCATAGGCCGAAAATATCATAGCATTATTATGGAAAGTTTGTATTATGGTATAATTGTTGATTAGTTAGGAAATATTTTTCTCTCTTTAGTGAGGAATTTACATTCCTTTTTCCTTGTATTATATATTGAATCATTACTTGTAAGAAATCTATCGAGGAATATAGAATCACTATTTTTCTCTCAGCCTGTCTTTACTTGGAACCTAACACGTAAACAAGAAATTGAAGACCAGACTAAGAGAGATTTAATATTAGCGTAAAATATTTCACGGCAAAAATATAGCAAAAAAATGCCACAAAGTTCATTGTATTTAGTATTCTATGATCAATCAAATATAGTGCAATATAGATATGCCAGTTGCAAGAGTCAGAAAGGAAAGAATCTCAACATAGCATTTGCTATTGGAAAAATGTAAAATCAGGCAAAATTTTCAGCAAACGCAAGAGCACCAGTCAACATCAAAGAAAGCAAGAGAGAAAAAACAAAACAAAAAACAGCCAAGTACAAATACCTTTGTAGCACCATAATATCTGACTATATTTTCATGTTCAAACTGACTGAGAAGATCAATTTCCTAAACAAATCAAAAGAAATTTATGAATATAAACGAGTAAATCAAAAGAAATTAATAAAGAAACAGCAAAAGAGTTAAAAATAAGGTCAAGAATATTGATTCGAGTCAGTTACAGAGCCTTGGAGGCAGAAAACTAGTACTTAATAGCAACGTAGCAATGAACAAAAAACTTGAGGCTGCTTAACCTGCTCTAGTTGGATGATACTTTGCTTTCCCTCCTCCCCTTGATCAAGCAAAGAAACTTCCTTGATAGCAAAAAAGAATCCACCGCTGAAACATAGCAAATATATGGGAGAGTTAGCATATCATCACTCACACACATAAGTGTTTCAGATCCTCCATATCATCTAAACTAAAAATGGCATCCACACTTCACAATATTGTGCTACACTTATAAATTATGATAAAATAATATTTCCTTTTCTATATTTGAATTCTTACGTACATACATGTTGATGGTCTGGCAATATTTGATAAAAATGAAGTGGCGAAGGGAAACAAAATAACAGGCAGTTAGATAGAACAAGTACAGAAAAATCTCAGAGAGAGACTAGAATAGAATTCTTTACATATGAAAGATTTGGCAAAGAAAACTTTAGCAAGATTTAAGACCACTACTCCTAGATGAGATCACATTCACCTCATACTTCCTTCCCTCACTTACAGGGTCACACATACATAGAGAACTATATAGAAAAATCTCTACACTCCACATCCTGAATGCCAACATTACTATGCCTCTTTGCTCAGTGATATAGACAAAAGTTTTCTTAGAGCTGTAAATAACAACAGCAAACATTATTGTAATATTTAGCTAGACCAAGTGACACGGCTATAACCCCATGTACTACAAACTCCTTGGTTGTAAGGGATGAAACAAATGATGATCCAGAAAGGTTCAAAATCGAGTTTCATAAAAAGAAAACAGAATTTTATAAAACGAAAAGAATGCATTCGAAGGTATAATTCTATTTTCACCAGAAAGTTCTTAATAGAATGTAGTAAATTAACGAAAAAAGAAAGTTATTACTGTAGATCATCTAAACTAAGTATTCATGAAGTCCAGCAACACATGATATGAAGTTATACACCTCTCGAATTAGCAGAAAATATTACTGAAGTCATCCAGACGTTAAGAAGTTAGAAGTTCAAACTAAATTATTAAATAAAAAAACATTTTTTAGATTTGACCTCGGAGTCCATGGCCAAGATGGGTTCAACTAAAAGCAATGGAATTTCTTAATTTTTATGGGAAGAACTTTATATTTCCAAACTATCAGTGAGATCATTTAAAATTAACCCCATAGCTATAAGTGGCTCTACACTCTAACTGTCTTCTTATGCAGAATGCATTTAATACATTCTCCTGGTCCTAGCTATGATATCAAACATTCCATGATTTCATTCTTTCAACTATTAATAACAGTGCTGAGGATACCAGTAGCATGGAGCCGAGTATATGTAATCATAAAAACATTTCACTAGGAATTACGCGTGTTTAGTATCATGTTAAGCCACTTTGCAGAAGCTCACTGCCTTAAACCTGAATTTTCCTATAGCAGAACATTAAGCAACTTTGTAGCAGCTCATTGACATACATAAATTATTTTTTCCATACAGGAACTCCTGGACTAATTTTAGGTTTTGGCAAGAAAACAGATGATATGGATCAAAGATAAGTAGGGATAGAGAGAATTTCAAATTTTTAATTTATTGGGTGAACAAAGAATAATAGAAATTTCCAGACAGCTAGGAAAAGCTTTGAGGCCCTGTAAACCTCTATGTCTCATTTAGCAAAACCCATTCAGCATATAGGATTTAAAAGGTGCTCCTATTACATCAAAGATTCTAGAAAGGGAAGGAAATTCTTAGTCCAGCTCATCCCAAACAAAATAACATACAGCTAACCACACCTTGAATGATCTATGGAACACTCAGGAATATATATATTTGGAAAAAATTTAATAAGAAGAAACCATGGCTACTTGCGTGACAAGTCGATTGTAAAGCCAGAGCATCAGTAATGCAACTGGATTTGTATTGCAATTTATCCCTACAAGAGTAGAAACAGGTTTTTCATGGAAACTTATATTCATAGCTCCTCACAAAAATACAAGTGATACCTCCACTCTCAACTAAGTCGTTCTCCCTCCTTTTATTTCATTTTCACTTAAAGTTTTCAAATAGTTTATAAACCAAAAGCCAGTCAGTTCTAATAGCATGCATACACACTAATCATTAACAGCACTTACTCAGCAATTCCTTCGTACACAGATCCGAATGATCCACGACCCAAGAGCTCACCCTTCTGCCAATTCTTAATAATGCGTCTAAATCTCCCATTGGGTGAAATATTAGATGTGGGCTCCGTCGTAGTACTTGAAGAATCATCATCGTTTGAAATTGTAAACGATGGCGACTCTGAGAGCATTACATTCTCACTTCTCATAACTATCCTTCTCATATTATCCTCCTCTCTATCTTCCTCTTGCCCCTCACTCCTCCGAATTAAGCATGTGTTTTCTATCACCGGCAATGACAGCGCAGGCACTGGCGCCAGAAAGGGTGGCCGCACACCCTTAATAACATTTCCACAAAATTCATTCAATGCACTGCTTCTATTTTCGCTCAAAATTTCATCACTTACCCTTGCTCTATCTCGTAACCTCGCTGCTAATTCGTCAACACCATCACTGACTCTGCGTTTACCACTAAAACCCTCATTTTTCACACTAATAATTGCATCATTTATCCTACAACCAACATCATCAATAACTCCATCATCAATATTACTTGTATCAGCTTCTATTTTCCGATTAACCATATGAGGAGCAGAAGAGGATCGGACCTTCATGCTCTCATATTCCGCCTGAGATATCCCAAAATCATCTATTCCAGAAACCCCCAACGCATTGCAGATAATTTTAATTTCACCATCAATCCCGTTAATGCGAAAGCTCTTCTTGTCACTGTACAATTCAAGCGACCGAGTACGCAGCGAAGAGTCCTCCGATGAGCAGTACGACGAAGACGATGATGAGGGCGTAGAGGGACATAAGTCGTAATTGATGTTATTATTGGCGTTCCGGCGCTGGAGTCTAGGCAGCAGCTTCTGCTTGGTGGCAGCTTTTCGGCGGCTTCCGCCGGAACTGGAGCTGGAATCCATGCTCGTTCTGTTTCTCCCTGAGCTATGAATTAAGAATTTCTGTATTTGATGCATTTTGGTAGGAATCTAAATCCATGGAAAAAAAAAAAAAAAAAACCTTAATTTCAAAATTTATGAGATTTCTTCTTTTTTGGGGACTTCTGTTATAAGATGAAGATGATACTCAGATATTAGAGTTTGTGGGTGTGGGTGTGGGTGTGGGTGTGGGAGGAGTAGGCGGAGAAAACGGGCAGAGGAGGCGGAGCGAAGTGAAACGAGGCGTCGGAGAGAGAGAGAGACAAAATGGAGAGCCAGGCAGGAGACTTGGAGTGACCCGTGTTTCTCCCACGGCTTCTCCACGTAAATAGAATTTGTTTGAAATTGATTTTTTTTTTTTTATCTTTTTTTTTTTTTTCCTCCACTCATTTTAAGTTACTGGTTCTTTAAAAAATTAATTTTTTCATTTCTTCATAATTTGATCGGTTAATTAATTGAAGTATTATTAAGCCCTTATTTAATAGAAATTAAAATTTTAATTTTAACCTAATTCAACGTCAACCATTAAATTTAACCATATATTTTATAAAACACACAATTTTTCAACCACATATTTCATTCTTTTTTTTTTATCAAAATTCATTAAAAATCTAATTTTAATACCACCGAATATGAGCTAAAAATTAGCTTTTGAACTTCTGTTTTCAATTGAATTGCTATTTCAACTTTTAGACTCTATTTGATAGTAATTTTTCACCCTAAAAAAGTTAATTTTTTAACCGTTATTTCATTATTCTAATCGTCATTTTTTATTTCTTCACTCACATGTGGGATCCACTTTTTTCTCTAACGATGAAAAAATCAATTTACATAATCACTACCAAACAGACCCTTAATATCATTTTTAGTATATTGATTTTGTTTTATGTCATATAACTTTTTAAATTAAATAGACAATATTTAAACGGTAAGAAAAGTAAAGAATTATTTTAAATAAAATAATTAATAGCATTACTAACAATTTAAGAGTAGTACAATCGACCCTTGTTTGATAATTGTTGATTTTTATCTAAATTAAATCTGAATTCTAATCTATATCAAATAAGGGCATAATTGAATTAAAAGATTAAAATAATAACAAGAAAAAAATAATTAAAATTTTTCATTAATATTGACAACTGGATGGTTCATTGGGTTTGAGTGCTACTGACGTCTCAAGCGGAAGTCAAGTGCCTCTGATTCAGAGGGATCATTGGGCAACCCCTATCATAACAATGAAAGTTACTTGGCATCTATTTGATTTGGACACTACATTTGTTTATTTCATTCTTTAAAATATATTTTTTTCCCTAAATTCATTATCAATCATATAATCTTTCAAATAAAATAATTTTACCCGCACATCAAACTTTTTACACAACAAAAAATCTATCTCTCAAAAAGTCCATAGGCCAAACCCAACTCGATCCATACTAGGCCCAAATAACCAGGCATGTCGAAAAGAAGCTACTGCAGATGAATACTTCGTGAATGGCAACAATTATGAGACCACAAGTCACGAAACTACCATTTGATGGTTATTATTTGAAAAAAATAATTTTTTGAAAAGTATTTTAGGCAAATGTTTATTTAAAAGGTAGGGAAATGAATTGGATTTATATACAAAATATCTTATTGTGTCAATGTGTGATTAAAAATGAATATAGAAAAAAGAATTTTCAAATAATGTCCATCAAGCGAGGGCTAAAAGAGCATCCAAATATTGCCTACATATGCACAGTGCATTTCTACATGAGCCTGTTCGGTAGTGATTATGAGAATTAAATTTTTGACCATTAAAGAGAAAAATAGGTCTTACCTATGAGTGAAAAAGTAAAAAAATGATAGTTGAAATAATTAAATAATGATCAAAAAATTGATTTTTTTAGGTGAAAAATTGCTACCAAATGGGGGCTATATCTTCACCAAGAGAATCGGAGATTTTTGTTACCTTAATCATTCTATAATTTCTCAAAATGAAAAACTGGCCACCTCTTTGCCTTCATCCTCCTCCACGGCATCTCCATCATCCTCACTAGACCTCTCAACATCTTCGTATTCATCTTCATCGTGCATCAAGCTTGCACCTTGATCCTTCAAACCAGTGTTCAATACCACCGATTCTCCGTGGTCTTCTCCATCTCCTTTCTTAGATTATCAAATGTGTTCTTCCTACATTCTTCCTCCGACTGTAGCTTCTTTAATCGTCTCTTATCAAGATCAGTCCTGTAAAGAGAGAGTGCAAGATTGGCAAGATTAAAGTTAACTTATGTTTCCTAGCATGTTTGGAGTTACTTTCTTCAAGAAAAATCGTGCATTTTACGTTCCTGTCAAAATAGATAGCTTATTTCCAATTTCAATCAATAAAAAAAAATTTAAAACAAGCTTATTTACTTAAAAGAAAATTTTTAAGCTTAACCAAACATGCTCGAATTATATCTGGGAATATAGAAGAAGAAATATGCGGCAAAAGCTTGGCTATTTAACTATACAACATTGCCAAAAAGAATTTAATGATTGGACAGGCTCATTCTTGTAAAAATCTACTTATAAGTTCCATGTACTCCTCTATGCTTGCTTCAATGGCATTAAAGAATACATCCATCCTAGCACCAGAAATTACAGATGCCCCAATAGATCTAAAGATTCTTATAGAACTCCTCCAGTACCAGGGAGAGGCTTTGGGTTAGAGTAGGCGTATAGAGTGTTGGAAAAATGAGTAAGTGGCTCACTTTTGGCAAAATTTTCGTTGGGACCCGTTGGTCCAATTTGAAAGCTCAAAGTTGATCCATGTTCTCCTCCGTGAGAGCATTAAAATCATATATTTATTTGCCAAAATTGATGAATGGATGAATGAGAAATTGGAGCTCAAAATTGACCTTTAAAAGATGGTTTATGTGGGAAAAAATTGAGTTTATCCCACGTAAAAAAATATATATGAAAGCAATAACCACTTTTAAATATGGTTGCACATTGAAAGCGTGTATTCATGTATAGTATAGAGGCTCTCCCCACGTGCGCAGGCAGGGGGTGCAAATCACGGACAGAAATTGCCTTTGGACTTTGATCTTGTATGCGAGCACGACTTGCGTACATGAATGTCAGACCGAACGGAGCAAAAATTGGCTCGTTTGGAGTGTCCAAGTTTTGCAATTTTTTACTTTCTCCAACTGGCCTTTGAGTTTTTGAAAACTGTCAAAACTCGCATAAATTGAAGCAACTCCAGTGTTTATTGCTCTGGAGTTAATAGGCAGATTTAATCTTATATTAAGTCTCATTTCCAGCAATTCTAACCACGAGAATACACACCAGGAAATTACTTTCTGCATACACACAAAAATATTCTGTAAATTAGTGTTGTCTACATACATAATCTGTTGCATTTTCAATTTTGTCTTTTCGGTGATATTGATCGAATACAAACTCAATTCACCGAAGTATTATCTGTGATGCTCAGATTCTATGGATTTTACCATTGTATCCTGAAAAATAGATGTTCGGATTAGACCTCAAGCACTTATGATGAGGGGGCGAATCTGTTTTAAAGAAACTGTGTTTACACGGGCCTCGGGTTGAAAATTCATCTGCTATTTATTTATTTTGCTATTACACTTCGCAATTTATTCTTACAGATTTATTTATTTAGCATTTATTCGTGTGATTCATATAATTTGCAGTTTTATTATGTTATCGTTTTATTTATGTTTATTAAAAATAATCTACGTTAATTTCTATTTACGTTAAAAATAAAAATCTAGAAAAAATTATTGTAATTTCGGTATGTGCAAGTGCAAAATCGGTGTGTGAAAATACGGTATATATGAAATGGGTAAAATAATATGTGCAAATACAATTAAAAGTATATACAGTAGGCAGCATATACGGTAAGCTGCAAATACGGTAGGCAGCATATATGGTAAGCTGCATATACGGTAAGCTGCATGCAAATACGGTATGCTCAAAATCAGTATCTAAACTACATATATGGTATGTAATAATCCGATTTCATTAATACCACTATATTCCGACAAATTTAAAACTGATTTCTAAGAAAAAATTGGTTTCTTATACTGTTAATTTTTAGAAACTAATTTTTTTTGTTTGACTTTCAGAAATGGCAAACGAATCGACCAACATGGATGTGACCCAGACTGTGCCTACTAAAAATCAGGCTATGGGCTCTGCTGTGGCTTAAGGGCCAAGCTCTGTTGTAGCTCAAACTGTGGCTAAATTGCCAAGTCATATTGTGAGTCAAACTGTGGCTCCAACAACTGGTCATACCGCTAATGTTCCGGTTAATCATGAAGAAAAATCGGAGAAATTCAATTGCTTGAATTTCAAAAAGTAACAGCAGAAAATGCTATTTTACGTGACCACTTTAAATCTTGTGAGATTTTTGACTGAGACTACTCCAAAACTCAATGAGGGTGAGGGAGATGTTCAAGCAATCAATGCACTTGATGCTTGGAACCATTCGAATTTTCTTTGTCGAAACTATATTATGAACAGCTTAGCAGACACGGTATACAATGTGTATAGTACTATGAAAACTGCTAAGGAATTGTGGGAGTCGTTGGATCGAAAATATAAAACTGAGGATGTCGGAGCTAAAAAGTTTATTGTCGACAGATTCTAAGATTATAAAATGGTGGACTCCAAAATAGTTATCAGTCAAATGCAAGAACTCCAAGTGATTCTTCACGAAATTCATACCGAATGGAAGATGTTGATTGAAACTTTTCAAGTGGCTGCAATTATTAAAAAGTTTTCCCCCCCGCATGGAAAGATTTCAAGAATTATTTGAAGTATAAACGAAAGGAAATGAACGTTAAAAAACTAATTGTTAGATTTCGAATTGAAGAAGACAACAAGAGTTCTGAAAAGAAGTGGTTCAATCCTGGTATGGCTAATGCCAATATTGTGGAGCATGGTCAAAATAGTAAAACCTACAAAAACAAGTCTGGGCCATCCGGTGGCAAAAAAACCAAGCAAGGACTGAAAGGTAGAATTTATAAGAAGAAATTTCAAGAAAAATGTTTCAATTGTAACGAAGTAGGCTACAAGTTTTCAGAGTACAGATTGTCAAAGAAGAAGAAAAAAGCAAATGTGGTTGATTACATGGCACAAAATGTGTCAAAGCTGAATCTCTCAGCCGTCATTTTTAAAGCGAACATGGTCGGTTCGAACCCTAAAGAGTGGTGGATTGACACCGATGCTAAAAGACATGTGTGCTCTGATAAAGAGTTATTTACAGCGTTCGAAGTAATTGAGAATTGGGAAAAGTTGTTTATAAGAAATTCAGCAACTTC